TAATGTGGCCTATAATGTTTCTACTCTGATGAATCTCTTAAGGCTTTCATTTTATAGAATACAGAATAAATTCTTAGAAAGTTCAATGGCATGTGAGAAAAATACATGTTATCTCTATTTTACAAATGTTTATATATACAGAGAGTGCATAAATTTTCTTAGTTAAATCCTACAAGTTCTTATTTTTGTCTTACTTGATCTGTTAAGACCCAGGATTGCATCAGTTTATCAAGTTTACTGTTTATTCATTTTCTGAGAGTTTTATTTATATTGTATGGCTATGCTTTGTGTTCATAAAGAATTATGATTCCGATTCATTTTTATGTAGTATATATTATATCATAAAATAACCTTCATGAATTCATTTAATACTTTGATCTTCGGTTGCTATCTGGCTTTAGTTTGTGTTAGATTGATGGAACTTTACTCCTCTGTTTATTGTCAGCTATTTAATGTCTTTTGGATAGAATCAGCTATATTAAATAGTTATATTTTCTTCTTACCTTAATGTGAATATTTCAGTTTTTCTTAGGAAAGTTCACCCCAAACAGGTAATTTGGAGTAATTCATATGTTTGTATGTGTGCTTTTTGTTTAATGTTTTGATAGTTATTATTTCTTACATGACCTTATTCTTTTCTCCTTTCTTTTAACCATGTTTTCTTGTAAATGCGGTTTGTTAGGATTTATTACTTTCAATATTTCTGATGCTTTATATTAACCTTCCCCTTTATGAATGTCTGTCTCTTTTAGGTCATATCTTGAATTGACTATTTTTAAAGTTTTTCCTATTATTTTGCAAGTTATGAAAGCTTATTTTATTTCATTTATTTTTGTAAATCGAATATGCATAGTCAATATGTAAATATGTGAAGTAAATGCCTTTCCGTACATTGCTTGAGCATTGCATGCTTTGCCCTCTCTTTTTGCTATTATTTTCAAGTATTTTAGTTCTTTATATTTCTTACATCTGCAAAACATCAGTATTCCAGGAAGCTAAAGTCTATTTAGACTTACTAGCACATTTGCTACTTTTTACTTCATTACACCTTTAGCTTCCTAGTCACCTAATAAATGTCATAACTTATCTCAGAGGGAACTTTCATTCTATCCACACTACATTGAGAATTTTCCCTCCCAGGATATTTTTGATTGCTTCAAAATGCATTTTTTTTCATTTCCATCCATAAAATAATGTTTACCCTGCAGTATGACTCTAGGTCTTTGGCTATTTTATCTCAAAATATTAAAGGTAACATTTCCCTGTGCTTTTTCACTGTTGCTATTGAGAATTCAGGTAAGTCTGATATCCTACCTTGACTTTGTTTAGGCCTTTGGTGATTTCTCACTTTATTGCAAGCTTTCCAAAACTTTGCATTTTAAAAATCATTGTTTGTTTTCTTGGGAACATAATCCAGTGTATTTCAAGTTAGCTGTAAATAAAAGAACACGTTGTTTCAAACCCAGATTGGAAGTTAAACTATCCATTTGTTCAACAAGATTTATTGAATTTCCATATGCTTCTAGAAACTGGAGATGCAGAAATAAATTAAAACAAAGTCCCTAACATCATGAGCCTATATTATAGGAAGTAGGCCATAAATCAGTAAATATGTAAGTAGGTCTGGGGAATTCCCTTTCCAAACCTTTTATGGTAGAACTCAGTCTATGTTGAACTTCACATGGGTCCTGATATGAGGAGTTGTTACCAGTTAGATGGTAGAAAGATTTAGTGTGGTAGCTGTCTTAGGGAGGGAAAATGAGTCAAGAAGTAGGGATTTTAATAACTTGTGTGTATGTGTGGTACTGGGGATCGAACTTGGGACCTTGTGCCTGTGAGGCAGGCATGGTGCCACTGAGCTAAATCCCTGGCCCAGAATTTAATAAATTTTAATTAAACTGAATGATAACTTCAACTTAAACTCTTGCATTTCCTTATTTTACCCAGGAGAAAAAGCACCAGAAAGTACGTAATTTATTATAATTCTCTTTAGTAATTCAACTGTCAATCACTATGAACTTTTTGGGAAATAAAGGCTTTTCTTTTCCTACTAACTGAATCCTACTTTTCACTATATATTCACACTTTACAGATATTGAATTTTTTGAGGATATGGACATTCTCAGCAATGGTATGTTGAAATTTTTCATAAGTTTGAAGAGAATGTAATTCATGCCCCAAATTTCTGGCTTTTGCTTTATTACTCATAATTTGAATGAATCTCCATTTTAAAAAGAAATATATAATGCAATTATATATTACTCTTTGTATATCTACCTTATTTATTTTCACTAAGATGTTTTAAAAAACGTAACCATGACAGTTAATGAAAACTTCATGTGTATTTGTATATAAAATACATTTTAAAGAATCATATTTAGTTTGTTTCAAAGAGCAATGCTGAACCTCAGCAGAGTATTTCATGGTGCTTATTTTATCTCATATACAATTTTAAAAGAAAAATGTCATCTTTTCTTCTTCCTTATTGGTTCATCACTCAACTAACAGACAACTAGTATTGGAGACACAAAGATTTGCATTATACAATGTGTCACATTCCTGGGCACATGCATTTTCATGACCATCATAATGCAATATGCCAAGTGCCATAAAAGCAATTTATAAAATCACTCGCTGAGGATGAATTTGAAGTGACTCACTTAGTCTGAAGGGGTATAAACATGGAATTTTCATAGTATTTCATAACGCGTTAGCCCATTTTACCAAGACTTTAAAAAAATAAGTAATGGAAAATTTCTGGGTGTTCTGGCAAGCAGTAATGACACAATAAAGGCATCCTGTGTACAAGGAGGGTTTTGAATATACATCAAAGAATTTTAAATTTGTTCCCTGTATAAAACATGGTAACATTTAACATATGTCAGGCAAAGAAGATAATATATGCAAAGTCAGGAAGCTATGAAAAAACACAAATTTTTGAACATCAAGAAGGAGTTTTGGGGCCGGGGATTTAGCTCAGTGGTTCCGCCACCTGCCTCGCAAGCGCAAGGTCTGGAGTTCCATCCTCGGTACCAAAAAAAAAAAGAGTTTGTATGACTAGATAGAGAGATATTTAGGGACTGGATTTCTACATATGGTAAGTAGAAGTCAATTTAAAATGGTTGTGTATGGCTTGCTGCGGAATATGGATTTGCCTTGCAGAACATAGTGAGCCAAAAATATATTTTTCCACAGTATGATTGATGTGATAATTATTTTTAGTAATGCGTGTGATGCACCACTAACCCTTTTGCACATCTGATGTCAGCCTGTGCCTCCTCCTGTGAGATGCATGACTCACTAAGGCAGTAGAACATGCTTGGGAGGAACACACCGGCTGTACTGGGAGAATCATCCCAGATCATCCTCTCTGAGCCAAGGCTGAGATGGAGCACAGGGTTGGCGACCGTAGTTTTTATGGGGCCTACGTGAATAAGAATGGCCAAGTCTTGGTGCTTAATCATAGCAGGAAAGCTGGATCTAACTTCACATTTGCTGTAGCAACAAAGGTGTTAGAATATTAGGAATCTGTGGTGATTGGCCTCAGTGATCCTGAGGGTGAAATAGATGACCTGTAGCTGGATAATCATAAAAATAAAGTATTGGTGAACAGAAAGCTGGTTTCACTGACTGCAAAGAGAAAAGTGCTCCTTCACCCAGTTTCTTTATGTAAAACAAAACAATTGGAGCAACAGTCCACCACTTTAAAGGGAGGGTGAGTCTTTCAGAGAAAGACTCCCCAATGATTACCACGTATCTATTAAATAGTTACTTCCCAGTTCTTCTCCCAAAGAAACCAGTAGCCATTCATGAGTAACAGCTCACAGGTATTTCTAAAACAGTGCGATATAGAATCTCAATTGCCATTAGATCTAAATATGGGTTCCGAAAGACATTGTGTAATCATCAGCCTGAAGAGTGAAATTAGGATCCAAGTGTATCCCAGCATACAAGCAGCAGACCTGTGGACCAGCATCCTCTGGTCATTTCCCTCATCTCAAGCATGTGACTGGGATGGGCATTCTTAATGGCCAGCAGAAATGTCCAGTATCATGACTGTGGAGTGAATGGCTTTATGCTAAGAAGAACCGAGTGACTGGTCCTAAAACTCTCCCATCAAACTACCAAGAGAGTCAGACAGTAGCAGTACCGCATTTCAGGAGAAACTGCCATGGTTAATGTCATTGGCAAAGACATAAAGTATATTGCAATGGTGGTCAAGTGAGCTATATGATATCTGCAAATTCAGATGGATCATGGAAGGTAACAGGAAGATAAGATCTTGCTCTCCAAATAGTGGGGTCAATAGCAGCTTTACTAGCTGTAGATCCTTGGTGGAATAGATGAAGACAGTCTTTGGTATTTGGTTTACAGTGGTGGATACAGATAATAAATTCTATTCAATCCATATCAATAAAGAAAAAAATAAGTGTTTTTCATGGGAGGTCAATTTTTATGCTTTCCATCACGTTAGTTTTCAGGGACATTGATCATCTTAAAATTCTATTTATTATTGTACTAGGCAACTGTATTGATCCACCAGGCTCACTGGACATGAGAAGGAGGAAATTGAAAGGACTTGAGTAATTTTTCTGTAATTTCAAAAATTGCAATATATGCCCTAGAAAAGTAACTACAATATTTTATGTATCTAATCCTCTAATATAATCCTATATATTTGGGGGTATATCTTGAGCAGTTAAATATTTTCCTTTCTAAACATTCATTTTAGACCCAATATTGGGTAAGCACCAAGCTCTCTGTTGATTTGCAAATATATATTTTCAAATATGTTAAATTGTAGCTGGGCAAGGGCTGCCTGTAGTCCCAGTACTTTAGGAATGAGTCAGAAGAATCATAAGTTTGACCTAGCCAGGCAACTTAGTGACTTAGTAAGACCCTGTCTCCCACAAAAAATAAATAAATAAAAATAAAAAAGGGCTGAGAATTCAGCTCACTGTGAAGGACCTGGTTTCAATTCCCAGTACTTTTAAAAAAGTTAATGAATTTATTTTATGTGGTATATTATTTTCTATTTTACACATCTATTTTATCTAGTACTGCATGTGTTAACTCATAAAAATGTATTCACATATATGCCCATTTTTCCATCTTTTGATATTCTTACCTGTTTATATTTTAAGCTGATTTTTCTTGTCTCATTGTAATTTCAAGAAAAATCACAGTAGGTCTAATTGTTAAGTAATAATAAGTATGAATTAATTTAGGAAAACTGGAATCTAGAAATTTAGAAAAACTTATCTATAATAAAAGTGTAACCACTTATTTTATATATCCAACAAATTATTACTGTTTATTAATTATGCACATTTTTCATTAGGTTAATCACTAGACATTCTGCATTGTTATCTTTGTTAATGTCATCTACATTAATTAATAATTTTCTTATAAATAAACATCAATAAGGTAAACAAAAAATAAGCCATAAAAATGCATTGTACATTATATCATGTAAGACTAAATTTTATAAACATGGATATACTTTAGGGTATGGAAACAGAAATCATAATAATAGAGAAAGTCCTTTATATCACATAGGAAAACAATTAAATGAAATAGCATTTAGCTTAAATAGATTAGAAGTTTCTCCTATTGAGTTTTTCATGGGAGTAGATACTCTTGTTATCATAAGAAATACGAGCGTGCTATGTATCAAAATTTAAAGGTACAGTGGACCCTCGAGTTACGACCAGCCTGACATACTAACAATTTGGGTTACAACTGGAATTTTAATTTTAACTAATGAACAAAGTCTTGAATTATGACCCAATGGCAGGCGGTCGCTTCCAGATGGTCTCAGATATAGATTTAACCCTTAAAGAGTTCTGGAAGGAACATTACAGTATCCTTTCCTGTGTGGAGTTAATTGAGAAATTCTGGGCCAATGTCTCTCTAAGGACACTGAGATCTGCAGTGATACAGGAGAGAGACTTTGAAGGCTGTGTAGAGGAGCCTGAGCCTTCAGTTGACCAACATGAGTTACAACCACCTCTTGCGAACAAAATGAGTTCGTAAGTTAAGGGTCTACTGTAATGGATGTTGCAAAGTATTTTAATCAATTCTTTTAAAGATAGTATAGATTCTCTAGTAAGTACTAAGTAATTTCATGTCTTGCAGTTATGCAGAAAAAGAGACCTCAGAAGGATATTTGTGAAACAGTTCAAATTTTGGTAATGATAATTTAAATATAATCAAACAGTTAATATTTGATAATGAACAACTTAATGGCTTAGTTCATTTATTCTTCACTTTGATGGTCTCCTAGTCCCATGAGTAAGATTTATGATCTTAAAAATATGGTAGAGGGGGCCGGGGATTTAGCTCAGTGGTTCTGGCGCCTGCCGTGCAAGCTCAAGGTTCCAAGTTCAATCCCCAGTACCAAAAAAAAAAAAAATA